TTCTTTATTTCTTGTATACAAACGTAAATATAATTGTGTAAGTATATAATTAGTATGATTTTTTTTTAAATTTACTTTACTTCTTATGAGTTAAATATTCTTTTTATTTAATTGTTTATTATGGACCTATGCTTAGGTGTGTTCCGTGTGCAGTGAAGTGTCAAGTGCAAGAAAAGGCACTTTCGCTATGCGCGTTGTGACATATGACTCGATTCTATGCCCAAAACCTTTCGACTTGGCGCTTGACTTGTTATTTCACTTTTTTTTTATTTTTAGTGTCTACATTTTCGTTAATTTTATTTACTCTAAAAAAATTTTTATTTACTTTCTCTAGTACAGTAACTAGTACGATTTTTGCACAAGTAAAACCTTAAAGCTGGCCACGCGTCTTTTCAGAATCAACGCATTTCAATAAGTAAAAACAATTTTTTTCTAAAACAAACATTGCAATTTATTGCAGCTTAGTCAACCGTAGTTTTGAACTACGTTTTAAATAGAATAAAATTTGAATTACTAATTAAAAATTTTTTTTCGTGAAATACACATAAACATATAATAGTTTACAAAAAAAACAACATCTGCATGTGTGTGTGCAAAATCATCCTTTTTGCTCTTGGCTCTCGAATCCGCAAATATATATATGTATTTTCCAACGAGAAGAGGTGCNCCATCCCTTCGCGTGCAAGCTTTTTCCGATGCTCTAACCAATTTAAAATATAATAAATTTTAATTTCACCTCGTTGTTTCTGATAGTTGACGTGACGCAAACTCGTTTGTACTCGTCAGTTTTATTAATTTTTAAATCCAGTCTTAACACATTATTTTGATGTATTATTAATATTATACGAAACGCTTGACAAACATCCAAGAGTATATGATACAGTAGTAGTAGCGTTGCAATCCCAAAGAGTGCATATACTATAAAAATAAATTGAATACAATAATAAAAAGAAACCGTACTTTCACGAAAAAGCAGAGCAGTGACTGATAGATCACAAGTAGGTACAAATAGAGACATACAGTGATTTCGCGAAGCAAAATATACAGAGCCTCAAAATCCAATGAAGAGCTCGAAGTGCGCTCTGCAGTGTATTTACAATCGCAAGTAATCATAGTTGTAACTTAAACCTGTACTAGCTACTCGCAGGGTTGCCTCGAGTACCGTTTCAATACAGTTATGTGCTCGATTGCTTAGTTAATTAATTTTAAACTTGAATTAAGGAAAAGAAAATAGATGGTACGGTGTTCGAGGCAGCCTGTCAACGATCAAAAAAAAAAAAGACAAGGGAGAGAAGAAAAACCACGCGAGCACGGTAGTTTTTCTTTTCGATGAGAAAAAAAGCTTAAACATGCATAAGCAGTGGTACCATTAGCAGATCATCATTGGAGTCGCGCATCCGCTTCTTGCCGAGCTCGATGCTCGCCATATTGGCATTCTGGAGTCCTCCGGGTACGGCGTTGGCCGAGACTGCCCCGGCGATCGGCATAGCCGCCGTCTGCGAGAGCAAGCGTTTCATGGTTTTTTTTTTGTTTTTTTTCCGTATACGTTAAAATTGCGTTTTTTCCGTTCAATCCGATTGAGTATGTTTTTTTTTTTTTTTTTGTTTTTTTTTTTTTTCAAACGTTCCGAGTGTGATTTTTGGTTTCATTCGTCATGGTTTCGGCGGCGGCGGCGTTGGCGATGGCAGTGGGCGGGCGGCACAGGCGTTAATTTGGCAGGTAGCGAAGCGCACGTAGGTTTTGTTTGTTTTTGTTTTCAGCAAGCATGAAGCATCGTCAGGCGAGAGGGCAAGAAGAAAATCAAAAAAAGAAAAAAAAATACAAGTTGAGTGAGGCTACGATATTTAATCAATAACAATAATAAATAATGTTTATAGGCGATAAATAAGAGATAGATCCTTCTTAATCAAACTGCAAATTATTGTTTCTCTATATCTCTGTGTGTATGTGATGCAGAGAAAATTTGTCAGCTTGTTAAAAAATTAATAAAAAAAAACAGCCATTTTTTTTTTTTTTTTTTTTCGTTCTCATATATACGCATCACTTAATTCTCGGCTCTACTGATTTTACTTCTGCCGATTTCACGTACCTTTTTTTTTTCTAGATATGAAATCATAAAAAATACATAGTTATAAATTCTCTCTATATTTATATCATATTCGTACGTATATATTTGTATAACTCATTATTAATACAATGTAGCTGCCAGTGACGCTGTGATTGTAATTAAATTATCGTCATTCGTTAAGATTTGAGTCATGTGGGTATAATTTTTGTTTATTTTTCTTTTTCAAAGTGTCGAGAAATGCTTGAATTTTCTTCTTCTCAATTTTCTCTACTTTTCATTTCATCAAATGCAGGTTTTATTGCGAACCACAACGCGTATAGCAAATATCGAGTTATCAACGTCGGGCCGATCGAACTCTCACAATTTTAATCGAAGATCGCGTGGGGAATGCTTGCAAAGCATTTGTACGACCACGATATTTTTAACGCTTAAAATAAATGTTTACGTAAAAAATAAAAGATAAATCAAACCCGATTAGGGAATAAAAATAAAAAAGCTCGATAACCACGTGAAAATTTCACTTTCACGAGCGAGGCAAGGTGTAACTAGGAAACAATCAGATATAAAAACGAAACTTTTTATCTCTTTTGTTGGGGATCACCGTGTGGACTGATAATCTTGTTAACCTTAACAGTTAGTATTCAAAGTACGCTGTGAGGTACGATAATATATATATATTGTAAGATTGACTTGTACCACAATGAAGAAAAAAAAGAAAAAAAAAAAGTCAACAATAATAATTTATAACATGCAAGAACGGATACGGTTAAGAAAAACAGTGGAAGAAGAACGATAGAAAAATAGTCACCCACGTTTCACGATTTAAAAATCTCGTTTGAAAAACACAACTCAAGTAAATGTAACACACTGTATCCGGAAAATACACATTTAGGTAAATGTACATATTGTTGTAACTGACATGCTTACCGTTCACAAAAATAACCTAATAAAAGATATGTTAAAAATAACGCCACCACTCAAACCCCATCACGATTCACCCCCTGGAAACCGTGAAAAACCTCTAGACTGACAAAAACAAAGATAAAACTTATTTACTACACAAAAAAAAAAACAAACGGCGATTATCGTCTCAATCTATAAAAAGAAGGAAAAAAAAAAAAAAAACCTTACGTACTACACAAAGACAACCCAGCATTCAGTTCAAGTTATCCCGGTAAAACTCGTCAACCCGATCTTCTAACGCCTCCTTCCTTTAGGCAACACAAAAAAAAAAAAGAAACAAAAAAAAAAAACAATGGCCCAGACGAAAACGACCTCACCGTGCATCATGCCCGCCGTGCATTAGCAAAAAAAAAAAAAAAAAATCTGAAAAGTCTACCGCCGTTTATCATCGACGTCTCTCCTCCTCCTCACCACCACAACCACCACCAGCACTTCCCGCTCCCACTCGATAAGGCACTGTTCAGCGACGACTCTGACTAGAAAATGGAAACTGTACTCCCGCGTCGGACGCGCATCAAACCAAAGAAAGGCAACGCCGGCAGTCGTCGTCGTCCTCATCGGCCCCTTACGTGGTCTTCATCTTCTTGTATGGCTGGACGATCACACCCGCCGAGTTGGCAGCTGCGGCGGCAGCCGCAGCAGCCGCGGCAGCAGCAGCGGACGGCATTGGCTGGGCCGAGATAGTCGCCGGGGAGTGTATCTGCTGGAGAGCCGCGTAGGGGTTGGTGGCTTGGACGTACGTGGAGCCGGGCACGGCGGCGTACGGGCTCGCCGGGATGACCTGCTGGTGCCGCACGAGCGAGTAGGGGTTGAGGGGCGCGGCGGCAGCGGCGGTGGGCGAGGGCCGGTAGGCCAACAGACCCGCCGGTAGGCCCGAGGCGGTGGCGGCGTGCAGGCCACCCAGGCCCGTCATGATGGCCCGGGGGGCATGACTGGCGGCAGCAGCCGAGAGCCCGGGCTGCTGGGGCTGCTGATGCTGGCCGGGCAGGGCGGTGAGGGCAGCCTGCTTGTTCAGGGCGACCCCGGTGTAGTTGAGGGGGTTCAGGGAGCCGAGCTGGTAATGGGCGTGGCCGTACGCGGCGGCGGCGGCGGCCGCTTGTTGGTTGGCCGCGGCGGCCGCGGCGGCTGCGGCAGCCACGTGGTGCTGTTGCTGGGACAGCTTGATGGCCTTGGCGTAGTTCTTCTGGGCGACCTCCTTGGCGAGGGCCGCGGGGTCGTAGGCGGCGAGGGCCGAGTGGTGGTTCGAGGCCATGCCGATGCTGTTCAGGACGTTGATGTTGGTCATGTTGGCCATGGTGTAGTTGAGGGTGGGCGCGGCGGCGGCGTGGCTCGCGGCGATCGAGCTGGCCAGCGAGTGGATGGCGGAGACCGAGGGGTTGTGGGCCGCGGCGGCCGCGCTCAGGGCTTGCTGGAGGTGCTGGTTCAGCTGGCTGTGGTTGTTGTGGTTGTGGTTGTGGTGGTGATGGTGGTGGTGGTGGGACGCGGGGGCGGCAGACGCGACGCCCGTGTGGTTAAGCTCGTGAGAGTTCGGGGCGGCGGACGAGGGGCGCTCGGAGGAGTCGTGGTTCGGGGCGGATGTTTTGCCGGTAGCGTCGTTGCTCGCGTTAGTGGCCGCCGGTGGAGGCGGGGGTGGCGGATTGTTCGGATCCACGAGGATCCCGTTAGCCTCGGCGGCGGCAACGGCGGCCGCTTGGCTCTGGATCGAGTTTTGCACGGCAGCGGCGGCGGCGGCGGCGGCGGCGGCGCTTACGACCGACTGACTCGAGTTTTGGGCGGGTAGGGGTGGTGTTCCAGTGTACTCACATGACACAGGCACGAAGGGCTGCTGGAGCTGCATCAACTGCTGGTAGGTCGTGGCGCCGGTCGGCTGGTAAACCGGCACGCCGGACTTGTCGCCGGCCGGGCGCTTGTACGGTACCATGCCTGGGAAGGTCTGTAAGAACAAAGTCAAGGCAAGAGCCCGAGAATTAGATCATTTTAGGCTCACGTGAGAGCACGTGTATGCAGATATATTTATTATTGTGTGTTCATTTTCTTTTGTTCGCCTCTCCCCCTCCTTGATGGAAATGATAATCAGTCTTGTTCCTGTTCGAAGGAGCGCTGATACATGTGTTTTGCGGGGAAAAAGAAATAAATGAAAAAGGATCTAAATCGAATAGCTTGTTTGGACTGCTTTTTTCGATTGTTCTTCATGCTTTAATTGAATCTGGATTGCCCACAAAAAAAACAGTCCGCTGGATTTGATGATGTAACAATGAGAGCGCGACTAAATGCTTTTTTTTATTTATCTTTTACTTTCATGAAATGACGGGAATGAAATGATTGCTATTATTTTTAGTCTGGCACTTACAAAGTTCTCGTAGTAGAGCGATCCGACAGACTTCATGTCCATCTGCAACAGAGACAGGATTGGTTTCAACTCGGTATTAAGAGAGGATGAGTTGGTAGACGTTACGTTCTTGTTATTGCATTTTGTTTTCTTTTTTTTTCTTTTGGAGATTTTGAGTAGTCAAACAAAAAAAAAGTTATGTTTTATTTTAACAGGGAAAAAAAAAAAAAAAAAAAAGAATTCCTTTATCGCTCGTGGCTGTACAGTTGCTAAAAAAAATCTCAATGAGGGGGTAGTCGTACACGCGTTGGTTGTGCATGTACGTAAGTTGTGCCGATGACGCAGCTTGCAGCGACGTTGTCAAACGACGAGGCATCCTTCTTAATCAAACTGCAAATTATTGTTTCTCTATATCTCTGTGTGTATGTGATGCAGAGAAAATTTGTCAGCAGTTAAAACAATTAATAAGAAAAATCAGCATTTATTTTTTTTTTTTTTTTTTTTGGGTCTTGTAGCCGATTTTGGACATCACGTTCACAGCAGTTTTGAAATCGCGATGCTTACTTTTCGCTTCCTTACATGTACTTCCAAATGTAATCACGGCCGATCGACGTTCGCGCACAAGAGTCTATACGTTGACTAATTTATTTTAAAAAAACAAATAAATAAAACCTAATGGACCCGAAAAATTTTTTATTTCTCTTCTTTTAACAAAAGCAGTGAACAGTCCAATGAGCGGAAATGTCAGTGATGGAAGATATTACAAGTAAAAAACAGAAAAAATGGTACCTTAGCGCAGAAAATAGAAATAGAAGTACAAAGTGGTGCAGCAAATATTGATCATATTATTTTTTACTTGTATCTACGTATGTAGCAGCGTAAGAAACAATGACAGAAGCAAAAATAAAAATGAAAATAAAAAAAAAATTATAAAAAAAACTTTTGTTTTAAGATGACAAATAGAAAAGCTTGTAATAAAAGAGTTGATCGCGTGTTGAAGCTGCGACATGAGATGCGAAAGCTTTTAAGCTGGTTTGTTGAGTTTTTTTTCTTCTTACTATCGCGAAACGCATGACGAGAAAAATATTGACGAAAAGCTGATGGATGTGCGCAAAAACCACATTGACTTATAAACTATCATCGAAATCTTAGCCACAACAATAGTTTCTATGTCATAGTGTCATAAAGCTATACGTAAACATAAATTTTTTTGCACAGTGTGATACTGAAATTAAAATAGTACATTTGATTGTGAAATTTAAAAAAAAAAACGCGATATAATATTTAAGTTCTAACGAAAAATAATTGTTTGGCACAAAATAAAAAAAAATTATATATATAATATACATAGCAATATGATGTGTGTATATGTAAGCGATCTACGGTGCGAGATGGCAGACACGTCACGTCACTAAACGACGGCTAGCTATGACTGAAGGCTCATGTGCCAATGTGGATGTACATCAGTTAATGTCGCTGATTTTCGTTGAGAAAAAAGTTAATAGCACTTTTTTTTATCGGAGCATCTTGTCATGAGGAGATGACATCTCACCATCACCTCTGGGTCGCGTAAGCACAACATGCATCATCGGCGCAAGCTCTCAATTGTTAAAATTCGATCGCCATAATTTTTTTTCACTTAGCTTTTAACAACAAAATGCATTATGGCTCTCGAAATCAAATGAAAATGTGACTTTACACTCGTATTTTTAAATTAATTAACAAAATGATTACGCTGAACAGTCAAATATACGTAATCTAATGAAATACGAGTGGTATTAAGCCAAGATTTATAATGAACAGCCTTACTTTTTCGGCTTATTTCAAGCTAAAGAAGTTGAAAAAATTTTGAATTTTCTTTCTTCAGCAGCCACTTGAAATTTATTTATTTTAATGAGTGTCAAGTGACTGGGAATTGTAAAATAATTTAAAAAAAAATTTAAAGATGGT